CCAAGGCTGCAGTTGGCCCCTCCGTGAACACCAGTGCCCCAGCCACACCAGTGACACCAGCCTGCTCCGCGCCGGGATTCCCACGGCATTCCCGACAGGGCAGCCTGCTTCCCAAGCCCTGCGAGACACTTGGGAGGGGATGAGAGGAACAGATTTAATTTCTCTCCGACACATTGAGGACGAGATTTCTATTAATAGAACGAGGGCGGAAAAGGCTCTTCCAGTAAAACCAGAGACGAGTTTTGAGCACGGCTGGTTCATCCGCTCGGATGTTAAACTGGCCACACGTCAGAGCGACACCACGGCGTGGCAGGGCCACAGCAAACGCCACAGGTCTGGTGCCACCATCTCCAAACCCTGTTTGCCTCCTCAGCCACAAAACACAGGATTGGCACCAAACCCACAACCAAATCTGGCTGCTGGGTTGGTGACACTGACCCCCGTGCCACCACCTCCAAACCCTTTTTGCCTCCTCAGCCACAAAACACAGGATTGGCACCAAACCCACAACCAAATCTGGCTGCTGGGTTGGTGACACTGACCCCCGTGCCACCACCTCCAAACCCTTTTTGCCTCCTCAGCCACAAAACACAGGATTGGCACCAAACCCACAACCAAATCTGGCTGCTGGGTTGGTGACACTGACCCCCGTGCCACCACCTCCAAACCCTTTTTGCCTCCTCAGCCACAAAACACAGGATTGGCACCAAACCCACAACCAAATCCGGCTGCTGGGTCGGCGACACCGACCCCGGTGCTGCACGGCACCGTCGCAAGACCCCGGCATCGCCGTTTTGGCCGAAACGACACCGAGCCGACGTCGTTCTCGCCGCAGAGTCGGCGCATCCGTTCTTAAACGGAGCGGAAAGCGCACGAGGGCTGGAGAAGGAGGGCTGGGGGGTTGTGGTTGTTTTCTTTTACCCCCCGGGGCAAAAAAAACCACATCACTTTCGCTTTCACAAGGGTGCATTTTGTCGCTCTTAAACGGCTTGATGCAGAGCTGGAGGCAGCAGCGGTTCCCTCCTCGGAACTCCCCTCTAGCGCTAAAAATGAGCCATTACACCCCAAAATGGAAAAGGAAAGTGGAATCCGGGAGCTCCAGCCCTCCAGCATCCCACCAAAGCCGCTGAAGAAGTTTGGGAGCACAGGGATTCTTCTACAGAAGTTTGGGGAAGTTTGGGATTCCGCCTTCACCGCCGCCTCACCACGCTCCGAGCGCCGAGGTTGGGATCGTTTCAACGTTTATTCCTTTTATCAAATCTCTTTCCAGAGGATTTCACTGTACATAGAAGATATGAATAAATTACTCAACAGTAACTTTATTCCGGTCATTCAAATACTCCAAACGGGCTCTGCAAAGTACTAAAACATCCAGGGAACTAAACTAGAAATTAGATTATTTTAAAATACTCTCAAGAAAAGATTTCATTCATGAGGGTCTGCTTGGTTTTGTAACAGGTAACACGGGAGAAAAAACCACCTCTCGGGAGTTTTTCCAAATGGAATAACAAAATACCAGTTGTTTTAGCTGCGGTTACGACAGGCAGAACCCTTACTGGTGGGAATGTAAATTAAATAACCAGACCAGCTCTCTGATCCCTTCGGCACCGCACGCTTTGGTGACCAAACTCAGGGAGGCCGCAGAGATTTGGCTAAAGATCCGTGGATCTGGCCGGCCAGGCTGCGCGTGATTTGCAGGAATAAAAGTTAAGGCCGGCCACGTTCTTCCTCTTCCCAGCCAGGAGGGTGAAATTAATACTTAATTGAAACAGAATTGATAGAAACGAGCTGAAAAAAATAAACAGAAAATAAATGTACAGTTGGCAGCTTCCATCTGTGTCTGCTCAGAGGAAATACTGCTGCTTCGCTCGCCGAGCTCGCTGCCCGCCGGAGCGCTCGGCTCCACACGTCTGGAGAACGGGCTGGTGGAGCGCTGCAGACCTCGGGTCAGGGGGAGGAGGAGGAGGAGGAGGAGGAGGAAGAAACGAGGAGGAGAACTGTACATACACACGCAGATCACGTTTATCCAAAGCTCGCAGCAGCACCTCGTGCTGGGCGAGGAGCCTCCCTGCTTTTTGTGCGTTCCCACCGCCGGTGCAAGCTCCGGCCGGTAAAGGAGTTTCCCCTCGGCACGGCTCGGGACACGCAGGCTGGTGGAGCTGGGAACAAACCCACTAACTTAGCCACACTTGGGAAAAAAAAAAAATGATATTAAAATGATTTGCACGAGAGGAGCGCTGGATTTACTCGGACAGGAGCAAGCAGCCGTGAGGATGTCTCAAATGAGAGGATCAAATCCCAAAAAAGCCAGGCTTGCTCTTGGAACTCAGCGTCTTTTAGAAAGAAAAACCAACACTCTCAACGCACAGCGAGTCCAAGAAAGGAGCAAAGTGGGAACTGGAAGTTTATTGAGACTCTGCCTAAGGTCCCAGTGACGAGGCTACGGGGGAGGAGGAGCAGCCCCCGAACCTCCGAGAGCTCCGAGCCTCGCACCGGGCACATTCCTGCGGCTGCCTCGGGACTGGTGTCAGCCAAACTGGGTTTGAACCTTCCACATCATCGTTTCTAAGGAGGGAGGGGAAAGATTACAGCTGGAGCTTCAGGACTGGTTTGCTTTAAACCTTCCTCCTGCTGGGCAGATCCCACTCTACGCGGGGCCCGGCTGCTCTCCAGAAGGCCAGGAGAAGTCTGACGCAGTAGGTCACCTGGGACAACGGCCAAAAAGCGGGACAGAAGATGTTAGAATCCGTATTTGGCTTGAGTCTGCCGTCGGCTGAGCTTGTTTTCAGACCACGTGTTTTTCAGTTCCAGTTCTCTCTCCTTCGCCTGCAGAAAGGGAGAGGAGGAACGTTAGCGCCGCCGCCGCTCGCTGACTCAGCAGCATCTCGCCCTGCGCTGCTGGGGATGGCAGGAGTCAGCAGGATCATCTTGACAGGGGCCTGAATTAATCGGGATGCACGAGGCGTTTCATCCACGCCGAGAGGGACGGTCTCAGCGGCCGCCCGCTAGCCACGCGGCAACGGTGCGGAATTCAGACAGGGAGCAGAGAGTCCTGTAAGACGCACGCGATGGAGCTGGGCGGGAGGGGAAGAGCAAAAAATCTACAAATTTTTGCTTTGCTTTGTAGGTGCCCCATCCCTGGAAGTGTTCCAGGCCAGGTTGGATGAGCTTGGAGCAACCTGGTGTAGAGGAGGGGGTCCCTGCCCATGGCAGG